GGGGGGTGGGGGGGGGTTTATTCCATCAATATTACGAAGCGCGTGATAATTTATTTTGCTCGAAGTTGTTTTTACGAGTTGTTTGCACAATTATGGAAAATATTACATTTATTATACTTAAAAATACAGTTCGAACCAGTGTTTTGATTTTAAAACGTCAATTCAAAATAATGTGCGTGTATTAACAATGCATTTTTACGATATTCCTTCGGGCCGTGCCATAAAGATTAAAAATGTAACAAAATGGCAATTAATTCATGACGTTTCTACCTTTTTGAATTAAAATATTTGCACTTTTTTTATACATTTATTTCGCAACTTAATAACTTCACTTCGAAAAACAATTCATTCGGCAGCTTTAATAATTTGCGTTTCCGTATATTTAAATATATTCTAGTTATGTGAATGTAACGAGTGCACTTGAATGATAAATGCATTTGATTAAGCACAGATGCATAAACGAAGTGTATTGAAGTAGTCTTCTAATTTCTAACTTTAATTTAAACAGAAACAAAAATTGAAAGGTATTACAGTGCAACAATAAAAATTCATAACGAATGGTTCGATAGAAGCCACCCGCCCCCCCCTAATAAATGACTTCCACTTGCGGCGACGAGCGTAATTACAGCGCGCGCAGACCCGCAGTTCGCTCCCTGGGGGTCGTGCACATCCAAGTGCATGAAGTCAACTTCTCTGCGCAAAACCGCAGCTTCCTCCCTTGTGCGCGGCGCCAACCTGAAGAGCAAACACTTTTGACACACACTCACACGCGCGCAAAAACAAAAAGAATACAAAACTCACTTCCAGGCCTGGTCCGACGAGTTGATCAGTGGGGTGCAGCCATCGTGGAGGTACCCCAACCCACCCCATCTTTTTTCCCTCCTCCCTCATCTTCACCACCAAGCAACTTCACCCCCCACATCCTCATCACCATAAATCCAGAAACTTGCAAATATATATAAATACATTATATGTGTGTCGCACGCGGAGAGCAGGCAGGCAGAGGCATCCCTTCTACTGAAGAGGAATTTCTGTGTGTGCGCGACTAGTGTCAATGCTCGGACATAAGGGGAGAAAGGACGCACACATCGCTCTCTGTTATCATTTTTTCCCCTCCTTTCCTCTCTTCATGTTTGCAGCACAAAACTGCTTTTTGTTCCCCATTTTTTCATTTACGAGGGTTAATGGATAGAGGCTTGGGCGTTTGATCACATGGCTACAATTCACCTGAGATGCAGACAAAGAGAGCAAAGAGAGACGAGCGAGAGCCATGACAGACACAAGGGTCATTGTTGCGCTCCCAGTGCTGGCAAACCGTGCGTGAGTATGCTTGAGTTTGTGTGTG